GAGTAGAGAGAATAGTGCAACAATGAATGAATGGAAACCCAAAATCTCTGTAAATGTTTATGAAAATTAATAAAATATAATTATAGGAAAAAAAAGCTGACTATAAATTTTTTTCTTAAGGCACTGACCCGCCTTTTGTTGTCACATTTATCTCTCTTCAGAAAGTATGTTGTATTCATGGAAAACACACACCTTTACCACTGTTAAAAAATGCAAAGACCACCTTCTTATAGCTGGTATATCATTAATCATTGTCACAGGATAAAGTAATGGCTCTGAAAAGAAAAAATGGCAGTCCTAACCGACCATGCTTAACTAAGCTGTTACTCACACGGTAAAGTGCAGACCTGGTCCCGACAACGGGTCTTCAGTTTTAGTCCTTTAGGCTGTGCTTATAAAGTCCCAATTCCTATGACAAGCTGCCACATAGCAGTCTCACTCTAGCCTTTTCTATTTCCCCAAATAAAGTAAAAGTCCAATAGCACCAATGCAAAATCACTTCTGGCATCAAAATATTACTCTGAAGAGCTAATGGCTAAAATGCAATAACTTGCAGCCTTCCACATTTTAATCAATCTAACCACAGTCCATTTTGGGAAAGGTAGAGTTGAAAATGATCTCATGTCAGTAAAACATTATTGCATTTATTAGGATGCTGCTCAGGTCTGCCACGTGCTCTGCCTCTCACTTTTCCTCAGGGCAGATTCCAAGCTATTTGTCATATGTCCTGTAACACGGTGTTTATTTCTCTGGCATAGCACTTGCCACCTGGTGTACTATGTTTCTTTCTACTATCTGTTCTTTAGGGTAAAGAACAGGGGAATCTCATCATTCTGGCATCCTTGGTGACTAACGTTGAACCTGAGGCCAGCTTTTGTAACTGATAGATGAGTAAACAAGCTTCAAGATAGCTGTTACAAGAGCTGCTGAATGGTACAAATAACCATACAAATTGTAATGGTACAAATAACCATACAAATTATAATGGTACAAATAACCACTTGTTCAAATGCTAACTGAAGGTGAAGGTGAAGGTTGAATTCCATCCAGAGGTGCCTTGGAAGAAAGACCTGGCAATCTGCTTCTGAAACATTGGCTCTTGAAAACTCTGCAAAGGGGCAGTTCTGCTCTGACACACATGGAATCATCACGAGTTGGCAACAGTTTTGGTTTTAGCTGCTATGAACTTTTTCTTCTTTCTTGTATTCTTCCCCTCCTGCCCTCATTTCCCTCCTTTCACAATTGTTTCTTAAGTTTCTATTACAGATTAAGCAATACTATCCTAAGTGCTACAGATGGTACATTGAACAAGACAGATAAAACCTTACCAAAAAAAAAAAAAAGACTTGAGCAGGAAAATTACTGGTCAAGTTGAAAAAAAGGGGGGGAAGGGGGAGAAACAAAAAAGAGCAGGGCAAGGGGCACCTGAAGTTTCGTCTTGGTTTGGATGAATGAATCTGTGATCAAAGAAAAGACTATTTGATTTTGGCCTTTCTCCTAAGACACATGTAGCCAATTTTCTTACCCGACAGCTAAGCATCAGACACACAAATCCTGTTTGAAATAAGACATTACTTTCTCTTCATTTTCCACCTCAATTTGCTCAGAACGAATTATGGTGTAGCTTTGAAGGTAAAAATTCCTTTCTTTAAAAAAAAATACCTATTTGTATCTCGAGTTTAATTCTTCCTTTCTGCATAAAATCCCTGAAGGCTCCATCTTCCCACATAACCCCCGTCGTTTTAGGGCTCTGCCTCAGGTTTTGTCTTACGCTTAATAACAAATTTCATCTAAACGATTTCTTACACTGTGTCTATTAAAATACTCAAATTGCTACCTGATATTTCATCCACTATTGAAAACACCATATTCTTTATGCCTTTATCAGTATCAACTAATTTTCTTTCCTTCTTCCATCATTTTACCTCTTCCACTGTATTAACCCTTCCATCCTACTCCATTTCCAGAAACTTGCTGAAAATCTTAAAGAGCAAGCACTTTAGAAGGACACTATACTGGTTCTGGTCCCTATTTTGTTGGGAATGTATGTTGTTCTGTGGCTGTATTCGGGTCTTGTCTGCCCCAAACTGACCATAAATCCATATGAGAGAAGCCATTTTTGTGGTATGAAAAGGTTACAGAATGTTTAGGGCTATGTATTAATTTTAATATTTAAAATTGTCAATTCGTTTTTGGTACCTACAACTGAAAAGGGACTAATTCTTTTCTCAATTTAACATTTATTCTTACATTCTCCATCCCATGCTCGCTTGCTCTCTCTCTGTCATATGCTTGTTTTTAACCTGGGGGAGGCGGGGAAATCAACTTATATGTGGTTTCCACCGCTTTTCTCCTCATCTCTAATCCACAGCTTAGAATAGGGAATACATTTCTAAAACATTATTTCAAAATATCCTTGGGTCATGCATCACGTCTGGGTGGTTTCCTCTTATCTATCAGAAACACTGGGAAAAACAAAGAGAAACCGGTACTTGTTCGACTGGATAGAGACCAGTTATGCATGCAGTTCTTTATCTCTGGGAACAGACAAGACCTACCCTTGGGTTTATTGATCAGCGAATAAAAACTGAAAACAGTGTTCATTACAAGTGTGGCGGGAGGAGTGAGTGAGGAGGAATGTGCTCTTTTCCCTCCCTGAGCAAACAATACAGAAAGGAGATGAGATAGTGAGGTTGGGTCTTACTCTTTCTAGTTCCACCTTTGTCAAACCTCCTTCTATTCCCCATTTGTAGCACAAAAAAAAATACAAACAACCTCCAAAACTGTGGCAGGGCAAAGAAATGCCTTTGGACATCTTGTTTTTAAACACCAAAGGGCCTGAAATGTGAGGGTATTTCAGAAGGGAGTGGAGAATGAAAATGACAGAGGGGAACTCCCTGCTTATTAGGGCTTTACCAGAAGACATCCCAATTACCTCTCCTGCACTTGTGTCAGCTTAGGCCTGTGCAAGGAGTCCCAATAGCTCAACAGTTAAGTGCTCAGCTGCTAATTGGAAAGTTGGCAGTTCGAACTCAGCAGTTTTCTCATGTTGCTCCTGTAAAAATGTAAGCCTAGAAAACCCAGTAGAGCAATTCTACTCTAACACAGAA